CTGCTTCTTTAGTTTTGATTTTGTCTATCTGAGTGCTGTAAATTAATTCGACGTGGTGACTGAGAATAAATTCGGGATCTGTTTTGGTAGTAATTATTTTTAGTTCTATCAGTATTTGTAATTTCGCGATATCTGTTGTTGTAGTTTCGGTTATATGAATTTTCGAGTAGTTTCCATATTTAATATTTGAATAACTCCTGTTGCGGTTATTCGAATAGTTTTTTTTTGCATTTGGTTGAAGAATGTCTAGAACAATCATTTGAGTAATATCGATTACGGTTGTTGGAATTTGATCGATTCTTATGACAGTTGGAATAATTACTTATTATTCAAATGATTTATCTTGAATAATTGTTTATTTTATGATTATTTTAACTACTTGATAGGCTATACCTATTTTTGTGAATAACTTTGTGAATTTCGTCTATCTGAGGATCGTCCAAAAATTTGGTTGGTATATGGTGATTGTGATCTTCTGTTACTATATCTAGGTGGAAATGGTTTTTATGAGCTATTACTGCATATGCATTAGTTTCTATCCTGTTTCATGCATTTTTGAATTAACTTGTTAACCAGGCCCCAAAGAATTCTGCTAGTAACAGAATTTAGCAAAACTGTCAGAATTCGCTTTATAGAGCAGATGATTTTAAAGAGCAGCAGATAGAGCAGAATTTAATCATACAGCAGAATTCATCGGTGGTTTTTTCTCAAAACTTTTTCAAAACCTTAAATAGAATGCTGAATTGCTATTTCTCAGAAATACCAAACAAGCATTTTATTTCTTATTGACTAAACTTCAGTTAAAACTGCTCGATCACTCAATATAGAGCAGAAAAACAAAAATGCATCTATCCGCAGCTCTACTAGCCTACTGTTTTGCCTCCTGAAAATGCTGTTCAATTTCCAAGTACACTTTTTTCTTGAAAAGTGATAAAAACGGACGGTAATTTTTTTTCAATAAACGCATGATTAATGAAAGTTTTCATAGGGCAAAAAAAGCTGAAGTTTTGTTTATAGAGCAGCAGACATTGCTCTATTTAGCAGCACATTTTTTTGGGGCCTGCTTGTTAGCTGACATATTTCATCACTTGAAATTACTATCGATGTCAATTTGTAGAAAAAAAGACAAGCTTTCAATGCCAATTTACGCAATACAAAGCATTTGAAACAGTTTAAAGATTGAGTCTACGAATAAAAAGAAAAAAATTGATTTTCTGTTCTTAAATAAGTTTCATTCTATTTGCTCAATTGCTTGCAATTTATGAAAACTGGGGATGCTACCCAAAAAAGCAGTAGCTGTTCGAATCATTTTTCAGATCGTCATTGCTGTATCGCTTCACAATTAGCTCTATAAAACCGCAAAAAATTAAGACCCTACTCATTTCGTGAGTGAGAAAAATTTAACCACTAAATGAAAAAAATATATGTTTCGCTGAGTCACCTTGGATTAAATTAAAAGCTTCTAATTTAAAACATAAAACGTCTGTGTCCCGCATTTCAAGTAAAAAAAAATCAATCATTTCATATTATATCTAAAGTCGTAACCTAAATAATCAAGTAATTTCTAATCTATTTACAATTGCTAAATTTAAAGTTTCAGTTTTTTTCTGCAGAAAAAAACCAGTCGTTGTTTTGTTATGGCAGCCGCAGGGTCGTCTTCAGTCCCAACAAAGAGCAGCTTTAGGCTTTTAGTAATTTGAGTATTTTATTGCATATATTGTAATTTGCATATGCAGTAATAGCTCATAAAAACCATTTCCACCTAGATATAGTAACAGAAGATCACAATCACCATATACCAATCAAATTTGTGGACGATCCTCAGATAGACGAAATTAACAAAATTATTCACAAAAATAGGTATAGCCTATCAAATAGTTAAAATAATCATAAAATAAACAATTATTCAAGATAACACTCTAACAGAAGTAATTATTCCAACTGTCATAGGAATCGATCAAATTCCAACAACCGTAATCGATATTACTCAAATGATTGTTCTAGACATTCTTCAACCAAATGCAAAAAAAAAACTATTTTAGTAATTTGACTGATTATTTTAACTAGTTGATAGGCTATACCTATTTTTGTGAATAATTTTGTGAATTTCGTCTATCTGAGGATCGTCCACCAATTTGGTTGGTATATGGTGATTGTGATCTTCTGTTACTATATCTAGGTGGAAATGGTTTTTATGAGCTATTACTGCATATGTATTAGTTTCTATCCTCTTTCATGCATTTTTGAATTAACTTGTTAACCAGGCCCCAAAGAATTCTGCTAGTAACAGAATTTAGCAAAACTGTCAGAATTCGCTTTATAGAACAGATGCTTTTAAAGAGCAGCAGATAGAGCAGAATTTAATCATACAGCAGAATTCATCGGTGGTTTTTTCTCAAAACTTTTTCAAAACCTTAAATAGAATGCTGAATTGCTATTTCTCAGAAATACCAAACAAGCATTTTGTTTCTTATTGACTAAACTTCAGATAAAACTGCTCGATCACTCAATATAGAGCAGAAAAACAAAAATGCATCTACCCGCAACACTACTTACCTACTGTTTCTCAAAAATAGAGCAGAAAAACAAAAATGCATCTATCCGCAGCTCTACTAGCCTACTGTTTTGCCTCCTGAAAATGCTGTTCATTTTCCAAGTACACTTTTTTCTTGAAAAGTGATAAAAACGGACGGTAATTTTTTTTCAATAAACGCATGATTAATGAAAATTTTCATAGGGCAAAAAAAGCTGAAGTTTTGTTTATAGAGCAGCAGAAATTGCTCTATTTAGCAGCACATTTTTTTGGGGCCTGCTTGTTAGCTGACATATTTCATCACTTGAAATTACTATCGATGTCAATTTGTAGAAAAAAAGACAAGCTTTCAATGCCAATTTACGCAATACAAAGCATTTGAAACAGTTTAAAGATTGAGTCTACAAATAAAAAGAAAAAAATTGATTTTCTGTTCTTAATTAAGTTTCATTCTATTTACTCAATTGCATGCAATTTATGAAAACTGGGGATGCTACCCAAAAAAGCAGTCACTGTTTGAATCATTTTTCAGATCGTCATTGCTGTATCGCTTCACAATTAGCTCTATAAAACCGCAAAAAATTAAGACCCTACTCATTTCGTGAGTGAGAAAAATTTAACCACTAAATGAAAAAAATATATGTTTCGCTGAGTCACCTTGGATTAAATTAAAAGCTTCTAATTTAAAACATAAAACGTCTGTGTCCCGCATATCAAGTAAAAAAAAATCAATCATTTCATATTATATCTAAAGTCGTAACCTAAATAATCAAGTAATTTCTAATCTATTTACAATTGCTAAATTTAAAGTTTCAGTTTTTTCTGCAGAAAAAAACCAGTCGTTGTTTTGTTATGGCAGCCGCATGGTCGTCTTCAGTCCCAACAAAGAGCAGCTTTAGGCTTTTAGTAATTTGACTATTTTATTGCATATATTGTAATTTGCATATGCAGTAATAGCTCATAAAAACCATTTCCACCTAGATATAGTAACAGAAGATCACAATCACCATATACCAATCAAATTTGTGGACGATCCTCAGATAGACGAAATTAACAAAATTATTCACAAAAATAGGTATAGCCTATCAAATAGTTAAAATAATCATAAAATAAACAATTATTCAAGATAAAATTCTAACAGAAGTAATTATTCCAACTGTCATAGGAATCGATCAAATTCCAACAACGGTAATCGATATTACTCAAATGATTGTTCTAGACATTCTTCAACCAAATGCAAAAAAAAACTATTTTAGTAATTTGACTGATTATTTTAACTAGTTGATAGGCTATACCTATTTTTGTGAATAATTTTGTGAATTTCGTCTATCTGAGGATCGTCCACCAATTTGGTTGGTATATGGTGATTGTGATCTTCTGTTACTATATCTAGGTGGAAATGGTTTTTATGAGCTATTACTGCATATGTATTAGTTTCTATCCTCTTTCATGCAATTTTGAATTAACTTGTTAACCAGGCCCCAAAGAATTCTGCTAGTAACAGAATTTAGCAAAACTGTCAGAATTCGCTTTATAGAACAGATGCTTTTAAAGAGCAGCAGATAGAGCAGAATTTAATCATACAGCAGAATTCATCGGTGGTTTTTTCTCAAAACTTTTTCAAAACCTTAAATAGAATGCTGAATTGCTATTTCTCAGAAATACCAAACAAGCATTTTATTTCTTATTGACTAAACTTCAGATAAAACTGCTCGATCACTCAATATAGAGCAGAAAAACAAAAATGCATCTACCCGCAACACTACTTACCTACTGTTTCTCAAAAATAGAGCAGAAAAACAAAAATGCATCTATCCGCAGCTCTACTAGCCTACTGTTTTGCCTCCTGAAAATGCTGTTCATTTTCCAAGTACACTTTTTTCTTGAAAAGTGATAAAAACGGACGGTAATTTTTTTTTCAATAAACGCATGATTAATGAAAGTTTTCATAGGGCAAAAAAAGCTGAAGTTTTGTTTATAGAGCAGCAGACATTGCTCTATTTAGCAGCACATTTTTTTGGGGCCTGCTTGTTAGCTGACATATTTCATCACTTGAAATTACTATTGATGTCAATTTGTAGAAAAAAAGACAAGCTTTCAATGCCAATTTACGCAATACAAAGCATTTGAAACAGTTTAAAGATTGAGTCTACAAATAAAAAGAAAAAGATTGATTTTCTGTTCTCAAATAAGTTTCAATCTTTTTGCTCAATTGCTTGCAATTTATGAAAAATGGGGATGCTACCCAAAAGAGCAGTCACTGTTTGAATCATTTTTCAGATCTTCATTGCTGTATCGATTCACAATTAGCTCTATAAAACCGCAAAAAATTAAGACCCTACTCATTTCGTGAGTGAGAAAAATTTAACGACTAAATTAAAAGTATATATATGTTTCGCTGAGTCACCTTGGATTAAATTAAAAGCTTCTAATTTAAAACATAAAACGTCTGTGTCACGCATATCGATTCAAAACAAATCAATCATTTCATATTATATCTAGAGTCGTAACCTAAATAATCAAGTAATTTCTAATCTATTTACAATTGCCAAATTTAAAGTTTCAGTTTTTTTTCTGCAGAAAATAACCAGTCGTTGTTTTGTTATGGCAGCCGCAGGGTCGTCTTCAGTTCCAACAAAGAGCAGCTTTAGGCTTTTAGTAATTTGATATTTTGTGAACTTTGGTAAGGTCAGAAAAAAAACAAGAGATAAAGGAACTGTTCAGTAATTTTTGTTCAGACCACCCCGGAATAAAATTTTTGAGCATCCCATTTAACAGAACTTGGATGAGTTAAAGGCCTAAAAAATTCTCTTGACTAGTGGCTATAGAGCTCGCAATTTTCCTAATAAAAATCTTTACTTGTATTTTTATGCACTCAATTGCAGGGGCGGATCTAGGATTTTCTCGAGGGGGGGGGGGTTTCAAAAAATTGTCGAAAATTTTGACGACCTTTTTTTTAGGTTGACCAAATTGATTTTCCGACGAGCTCTCCTAAAGCAGTAAAAAGACCCTGATTTGGGCCAAATTTCTGCGCCGCAGGCAAGTTTTTGAAAACAGGTCAAAAAGCCGTTTTTGGGCATTTTTTGGAAAATTTTGACAAAAAAAATAGCGTTTTTTTGGCGCGCACTCCCCCTGAAAGTTAGTATATATTGGCGCCAAAGGCGCCTTTTGAAAAATTTTAGGGGCGGTGCTACCCAATAGAACAGTCACTGTTCGAATCATTTTTCAGATCGTCATTGCTGCATCGCTTCACAATTAGCTTTAAATGAAACCGCAAAAAATTACGACCCTACTCATTTCGTGAGTGAGAAAATTTTGACCACTAAATGAAAATATATATATATGTTTCGCTGAATCACCTCGGGTTAAATGGAAAGCTTCTGACATGAAACAAAAAATGTCTGTGTGACGCATATCAGGTCAAAACAAATCAATCAATTCATATTATATGTAAAGTCGTAACCTAATTAATCAAGAAATTTCTAATCTATTTACAAGTGCTAAGTTTAAAGTTTCAGTTGTTTTCCGCGGAAAATAACCAGTCATTGTTTTGTTATGGCAGCCGCATGGTCGTCTTCAGTCTCAACAAAGAGCAGCTTTAGTTTTTAGTAAATGAATATTTTGAGAGCTTTGGTAAGGTCAGAAAAAAAAGATACAGAAACTTTTCAGTAATTTTTGTTCAGACAACGCCGGAAGAAATTTTTCGAGCATCCCATTTTACAGAACTTGGATGAGTAAAAAGCCTTAAAAATTCTCTTGAGTAGTGGCTATAGAGCTCGCAATTTTCCTTATAAAAACCTTCACTTGCATTTTTATGCACCCAATTGTCACATTTGAAAAAGCTGCTCCAACCCGCGTTTAAGGGAGAGCTCCTATGAGAACACATCTCCTTTCTTTATCGTGCCTGCTCGCATTTCTTCCTGAACCTCACTTTGCTGGGACTGCATCTCATTGAAGAAATCCTCTTCTTCTGCTGTTGCTGGGTACTCCATCCTATATTTCCGACCGCACTTCAAGTATCCTCTTAACGTTTCAAACCGCTCCGTTGCGGACGATAAAAAATTTGAGGATGAGAAATAGCTCCGCTTTTGTAATCAAAAGTTACAGCTCAACCACCCGCAGTGTAATTTTTGTTCTCGACACTGGCTCGGATAAGGAAAGATAGGAAAGAAGGAAAAAATGCCGTAGAAAGTTATTTCTAGGAAAAGCTTCGATATGGAAAATACTTTTTGAAAGGTGCACCAACAAATTATGAACAAAAAATTTTTTCCTCGAAACAGTTTTAAGTAATTTTTTGAACGGAAAAGATTACGCTGGAAGAGTTTCAAGAGAAAATTATTCCGCTTACGGATAAGTTTCAAAGAAGAGGCTTTAACACTGAGCATGCACTCTGAACACCTCTATTTCAAATTCAGCAGTACAAGAATAACCACGCAAAAAGAATCGCATTGAGAACATCGATCTTGTTATTATGGTGAAATAAAAGGCGGAACGCAGATAACTATCTTCGAAGCGAAGGCAAGAGTTCATATTTGAATGACTTTGAAGTAACAGTATCGCCAAGAAAAAATAAAAGACCAGAGGTCGACTAAAAATTAAAGTTTATAAGCTTCAAGTGTGTATAATAAATTAGAAAGCTTTATAAAAAAAATTCGATGACTGAAAATTAAGCAGAACAGTTAAATTATATGCTTTATTCTTGCATGCATCATTGAATTTTAAGCTTGGCTGCCAGTGGCAAGCAAGCTGAAAATACGCAAGCAAGAATAAATCATATAATTTAACTAGGTTTCAGTTAACGAATCTGGTAAGTCGCTCTAATTTTAAGGCAAGAGTTTCCATTTTTTTAACTACTGAATTTGTTGTGACAGGAGTCATTCAAGTACCATTCTGTTCAAAAAGATTTAGATTCCCCGGAAGTTGCAGAAAAAAACTGAAATTGAGGTCAAGTATTGTATGTTGTAATTGTGCATAACAAAACCAGGTTCAGAAACCACCGCTGCAGAAAAAATATCAACTATGTCGCCATATGATTGATTAGTCATAATCAATATCAATTCTGTTATAAACGCAAACTAATTATAGATTATCGAAGTAGAAAGTCCAGCGTGGTTGATCGTGATCACGAGGTCTGTGTTAAGGTGAGATAACCTCAGCTGAAATATTATAAACACAAGTAATATCTGCATTCATAAGTTATGAGTAACATGCATAGCCAACCTCACATGCACAAAATTCGAAATTTGGTTTCCTTTGTTAAAAATGAGCATCCTTTTTGGGTCTTTTTGATTATAGTAACCAAAACGATTTTCACTCTTCTAACAATTTTTCCATTTTCCTCTAGATTAACATAAATATCTTAAGCAAAAAAAAACTTAAAAATTTATCTGCCAGTCTTAAATAGAAACATGGGGAAAAATAACTTTTTTTTCGACCTAAATAAGCAATGAAAACTAATTTTTGTTTGTAGAACAAAAAGCCGAAATCCCACATTTCAAATGTTAAGTTTCAAGATCTTTAACTGTTCCCCTGTGGTACCTAAGAACAAATTTTGACCCCCTAAAAAGAATCAAATTACTGGTTAAGCTATATAAGCTATATCTGGTAACGAATTTCCCCTCCGATCCTTCAGTGGTTTTTTGTTTTAATGAACCCTGGAAAACATGAAATTGTTAAAAATGATTTAAATATAAAAAATCCCAGATCTTCAATCATCAACTGAAAAACATTGATACATGAATATATGATTGCGTTAACCAGCTAAAAAGGGACAGTACAACAGTGCCAAAAATGAAAAAGGGTTCAACAGTGCCAAAAATTGATGATTTTTGGCACTGTTGAACATTAAATCATTTTCGACACTGCTGTACTTCGGCTGTGTTATGCTGCCCTTAGAGGGGCGTTCAAAATAACTAATAAGTCGTAAATAAAATAACTGTTCAACAGTGCCGAAAATCGTCAATTTTCGGCACTGTTGAACACACTTTTTCATTTTCGGCACTGTTGTACTTCGGCACTGTTGAACGCCCCCAGCTAAAAATAACATCACATATAATATCCAAATTATTGTTATGTACCATTATTCTTAAGCTGTTAGACAGAATACTTTTCAAATATTGCTTGAGTATCTTTATATGACAAGAAGTACAGAAAAAAACTTGCAATGTGTTTCCAACAACGAAGTCTGTTTTCGACCAGCTTTTATTCTGACAATAACAAAAAATGCCCTCTTATACTCTCAGTTTGATAACAAAGTTTAATAATTTCGTAAACTCAAGTTCTTTATTATCTGTTGGGGGGGGGGCGTTATATTTTTTGGTATAATTTTTTTTCATTAATTAAGGGGTTTTAGAAGAAACAACTTGCGTGGTAAACGGCTTTTGAAACATGTTCGCGCACGATTTTTTTTACTTTGATTCCCGGTATGACAATGGCAATACTTTTTGGGTGATTAAGATTCCAATTTCAAATCGTAGTTTAGTTGTTTCTTTTTAAATGATTTCTTTTGATTTTTGAATTTTGAGTCTTTCAGTTTACTAATTTGGCGGCATATTCATGTCGAAAAATGTGGCAAAATTAGGTTTGGCAAAGAATAAAGTTCAAATGTCGTAGACATAGCCGGGCCCATTTGCAGGTTGCAAATTAGAAAATGGTTCGTTGAAGCTGATGGTACGTCGTCGTTGATTGTAATGGTCATCTAGTTGTTAGCTGTCGTTGATCATGTTGGTCATCTAGTTGTTACTGTGGTCCAATACTCGCGAGAGTTTGACTGCTGGTCGGTGTAGAATCCCCCTGCTAGTTTTAATTTCGCAGGAGCGAACGATTCCGTCTGCACCTGGGAAAGTACGAAGTACCCGTCCCAGGGGCCAAAGACCTCGAGGCGTTAGGTCTTCCAGTATCCATACAAGATCTCCTTGCTGAAGATTTTCCAATTGCTTTGTCCAATTCGTTCGGGTCGTCAAGGTTGGCAAGTAGTCTTTGAGATATCTGTTCCAGAACTGTTGACTCAAGGCTTGAGCTTGTTTCCAAGTTCTCTTGTCCGTTGTGTGGCGAGGGAGGCAAATTGTTTGTTGGTCGTCCTAGTAGAAGGTGATTGGGTGTAAGGGCCTCGTCGTCGGTTGGGTCTGATGAGACGTGGGTTAGCGGGCGAGAATTCATCGTAGCTTCAACCTCGCACGTGAAGGTTGACAGAGTTTCGTCGTCCAGTGCCCGTGTTCCAATGACTTTGTAGAAAGCAATCTTAAATGTTTTTATGAGGCGTTCCCATGATCCACCAAAGTGAGGAGCTGCAGGTGCGTTGAACTTCCAGGTTATTCCAAGTAATTGGCATTGATTGTTGAAGTCGTTGCTGTGTTGAATCTCAGAAAGGCTTTCCTGTAATTCCTTGTCAGCTGCAACGAAGGCTTTTCCGTTGTCAGAGAAAATGAGCCTGGGTTTACCGCGTCTAGCGATGAAACGGCGTATGGCTTGTAGAAGTGAGTTTGTGTCAATTTGCTGGCATATTTCTTAATGAACTGCTCGCGTGACGAGGCAGGTGAAGAAGAGAACGTATCGCTTACTGTACTTGTCGTTGTTCCGCGTGGCGAAGGGTCCAAAGAAGTCAATTCCTGTTGAAAAGAAGGGGTAACTGTTTTCCGATAGAGGGAATCGTTGTAGGGGTAGATCTGCCATCAGAGGCTTCACTGGTTCCTGTCGAAGGCGTCGGCAAGGTATGCATTGTCGAATAGTTTTCTTCAGATGCTTGCGTGATCTTATGATCCAAAAGTCCTGCTGAAGAATGCTTCGGGTGTGTTCCATTCCACAATGGGAATTTATTTCGTGTGTTTGCTTCATGAAGATTTGTATTGGGTAGTTTTCTGCGTTCAAAATGACTGGATGTCGACTGCAAAGTAGAAGCGGGGCTTTCTGTAGTCGTCCTTTGGCACGTAAATATCCGTGATCGTCAATGAAGGGGCAAAGAGGTTGTAGAGGGCTGCGGGGTGGAATGTCAGATTTCTTTGTCAGGCATGCTATTTCCTTGGGGAATGATTGATTCTGTGAGTGTTTAATGATCCATGCGAATCCTAAGGTGAGGTGTTGAAGTGAGAGGCTCTGGCGTGTCTTCCTTTTGATGTTTTCTGCGAAGAGAAGAACATATGAAGTAACCCTGAGTGCTCTTGTCCAAGTGCTAAATTGGTTGCAGTCGATTACTGATGTTGGCGGTTTAGGGTCGTTGTCTGTCAGATGAATATCGGCTGTAGGTTGTGTTAGCGGGTGATTAGGCCAATCTGGTGATGGTCATAACAAGAAGTCTGGTCCTTTGATCCATCGTGAATCGGTAGTCATGTCACATGCTTTGTAACCACGTGTTCCGTCGTCTGCAGGGTTGTCTTTGCTGGGCACGTATCTCCAGTCCAGTGGAGATGTTGAGTCCATGATGAAATTCAGGCGGTTGGCAATGAAGATCCGGTGTCGTTGATTCGGCGAGTTTATCCAATGAAGAACTGTTGTACTATCTGTACATAGTGTCGTACTGTCTATTCGTATGTCATGTTGTTCTTTGATGAAACGAGACAGTTTAGCTCCGTTAGTGGCGGCTTGAAGCTCGAGATTTGGAATTGTCATTCTGCTGATGGGTGCTACTCGGGCTTTTCCAATGACGAACTTGAGTTCCGTTGTGTCGTCGTCGTATCTGATTCTGAGGTAAGCAACTGATGCTAAGGCAAGTTCGGAGGCGTCGCTGAATACATGGATTTGGGTTTCCAGTATCTTCGTTTCTGGTTTGAAGTAAGTCCGGGGCAGGCAGATGTCGTTGAATTGGCTTCGCTTGTCTATCCAATCGTTGAGGTCTGTTAAATGCTCCATGTTTAGAGGTTTGTCCCATTGAGGTCCATTACTCCAGGCAAGTTGAAGTGATTGTCGTAGTCGAATTGTCAGTGGCATCGTAATTCCAAGCGGGTCAAAGATTGAAGAAGCAAACTTCAATAGTTTGCGCTGCGTTAAGTCCTTCTTGTCAATGGCGTGAAACTTCTTTGCTTCCACAAGAAAGACGTCCGTGTCTGGTTTCCATTTCACTCCAAGAACTCTTTCGAGGGGTCGTTCCTTCTTGGTGAGGCTGTCGCTGTTTTCCAAGTGGTTCTCGTTAACTGTTGTGAGGAATTGTTGAAAGTTTGAGGTCCATTTTCTGAGGTTGAAACCTCCAAGGCTGAACATCTTTTGAAGGTCGTTCATTAACTGTGTCGCTTCCGTCGGTGTTGAAACGGCTTTGTATAGGTCGTCCATGTACATGTTGCGTTTTGTGATTTGCTCCAAGGCTGGATATTTGTCGGCATTGTCCTTCGCACATTGTCGAGTGGCGTAGCAGGCAACACATGGTGAGTCGGTAGCTCCGAAGATGTGGCGGGTGTATTGGAAGGTTGCGGGTTGGCCCGTGTTGTCCTTCCACAGAAATCGCAAATACGGCTGGTCCTCTGGGCTGACGAAAACCTGCATGAACATTGCTTCAATGTCGGCAGAAATAGCGATTTGGTCCTCGCGAAATCGCATAACGATTCCAGTAAGGTTTGTGAGGAGGTCTGGTCCAGTTAGTAGGTTGCTGTTGAGTGATACTCCTTTGTAGATGCTCGATGCATTAAGGACTCGGCGTACCTTGCCAGGTTTATTGATGTTTGTCACTGGATGATGAGGAAGGTACCATTTTCCTGTTGAGTCTTCATCGGAATCATCAACTTTGACTATGAAACCTTTCTGCAAGTCGGTGTCGATGGTCTCCTGATATTTCTGTGCCATCTCGGTGTTTCTCTTTAGTCGTTGGAGAAGGCTGTCGAGCTGCTTCTTGGCAAGCCATCTATTGTTTGGCAGTTGTTGTCCACGTTTCCAAAGCATTCCAACTTCGTAGTGTCCATTGGGCAAGCGGGTTGTTGAAGATTCCAAGATGCGGAGAGCTTCCTTGTCGTCTGTTGAGAGGCTGCGTTGGTCAGTTGAAATCCCTTCGGCGTACATTTTCATCCATTCAGCTACGTGGCAAAACAGTGTATCGTCTGTCGTGAAAATGATTGTGTTGATGTCGTTGGGTGTCGCTGCATTGTCTCGTCCACAGAGAGACCATCCAAGTGGCGTTTTCCATCCAATGGGCACATTTTGTTTTGAATGGATTACTTCTGAAGGTGTCACGAGCTCGGCGAAATCGCATCCAATGATGATTCCGATTTCTTTCGAGGGCAGTGTGGCTATCCGAATGTGTTGAAGTGGCTCGTTCCTTTGGCAGATGGAGTTGACGAGTTCAGGGTTGAATTGGGAAAGGTTCCAATCCATTATGACGTCGATGTCATTTAGTTGAAATGGCTACTTTTGCTGGTTGTAGGGTCCAATCGCGATCGCCATCTTTGTAGAAGCTGTGTCTGATGATATCAGTGCTTGGTTTAGCTGGATGGTGTCGTCTAATTGCAGATCCGGTTTGAGTTGGAGGGCGATTGATGATTTAAGCAATGTCAGTTTGCTTCCACAATCAAGCATTGCATAGGCATGAACTCTATGTTTGCCATGAGAGATCGTTATTGGCAGGGTCGGAATGTGGCGAGTCGATTTCCTTCTGCTTATGCTGGTGCTGCAGTTGGTGGTGTCGTCATGTTGTCTGGAGTTCCGGTTGGCTGTCTCCCTCTGTGTCGTCGAGTTGTTGCTGTTGTGCAGAAGTGTGTGGTGTTTCTTACTGCATCCGTCCGTCCGGCAGGTTTGCGTTGATTGACAGTCGGCGAACTTGTGGGGGCTGAGGCAGTTGAAACATAGTTGTAGGTCTCTGGCATGCTGTAATCTGTCCTTTGGGTTCATTGCGATGAAGTGTTGGCATTTGCCAAGGTACTGGCAATTGCGTTTCTCCGGGCAAAAATCTCGTCATTGGTCCTTTTGTCCAGATTTATGTTGCTGCTGGCTGCGTTGCTGGTTCCGGTTGTTCTGATTGGCGCGGTGATCCGATGGTCCATGTTGGTGGGTGTGACCGTTGGATGATGATCCTTGAGTGTTGCTGCTGTTGTAGTTGTTGCTGCTGCTGTTTTTGGTGTTGTTGTTGTTGCTCGGCAAATCGCTGCATGCTTCAGCGTAGATGTTCAACCAATTGGTGAGGTCGATGAGTGATGGTTGTCTGATATTGCATTGCAGATTGTATTTATTCCATTCTAGTCGGCAAGGGGTAGGCAGTTTTGACAAAACTGTTTGGACATTTGTCGTAGAGTGTAGATCGTGCTAGAATCCAAGTGTCCTGAATGTATCGACCATTGTCTGTAGGAAGTTGGCGAGGTCCTTGTAGCTTCTGGTATGTCGTAGATTGGGGCCGCTGATGGCGTCGAGTCGTCGAAGGAAGGATGTAACTATCTTGGTCGGGTTACCAAAGTCGTTTTCCAGTCGCTGAAGGGCTGCGTCATACATTGCTCCATTGCATCCATATCCTCGGATGAGAGATTTGGCATCTCCGGATACAAGTTTCTGCAGATGTGTCATCTTTTCCGAGTTTGTCATGTCGGTGCTGTTGATGGTTGCGTTGAACAGTCCTATCCAATCTAACCATTGTTCAGGTTCTCCGTCGAATATGAATGGTTTGACAATGGGCACTGATTTCCTGAATGTCTTCGAGATCATTTGATGATGGTTGTGGTCTGTCGGTGCTGTTCCAAGGTTGGTAGGAATCGGAAAATAAGTCGGCTGGTTCTGATGTGCTGCATGTTGATGTGCTGCATGTTGATGGACTGCATGTTGATGAGGGGGAGGTCGGTTGATATTTGGGTGAGTTGTTCCTGTTGGTCCCCTGCAGCCTGCATGAGTGAAGGCTGTTGTTGATGATGTCGGCATGTTCGTAGGGTTGTATGCTGTCGTGGTTCCCAGAAATCTTTCCTGGTACGATCGCATGGCAGGTTGTGTACATTGGTAAGTCAGGGTCGGCTGGCTGGAGGTCCAATTTGTTGCTGTTCGTTGATCTCCTTGGTTTGTTGGCAGTAGTGCTGGTTGTGCTGGTATCGGTACTCCGTTGATGTTTGTGATACCCTTAGCTGTCGTCTGGTGTCCACTGAACACGTTGGTGGGGGGATGATTGGTTGAATTCTGATTTCCAATCGTCAAGATGGGTCTAAAGGCGCTATTCGGATTATGTGTCCTCTGTTGCTGACTTGGAGGCTGGTTCTGTTGTAGGCTTGAAGGCTGGTTCTGTTGTTGGCTTGAAGGCTGGTTCTGTTGTTGGCTTGCAGGCTGGTATAGTCCATGTGGGGGGCTAGCTGTCTGGGAAGTAAGAATTGGGGGTGTGATTTGCTGTCCAATCATTTGACTCAGAGCTGCTTTTGAAGTTGCTGTCGGAAGAAATATTGGCGCTGAAACATTTCTTTGTTGGGTTGCTGGAGCGTTCATCTGCTGATTGAAAACTTGGATTTGAGTTCCAGGGTTGGAGCGCGGTGACGTTTCATGAAGTTGAGCTTCTGAGTTTGGTCTTTGTCCTACTGTTGCTGTCAATTGCTGATTGTCGATTTGGAGTTGAGTTCCATTGTTCAATTCTATAGTCGCTCCTTGAAGTTGAGCTTCTGGGTGGTTCGGCTGAAGGTTTGAACCTTGTGACAAGTCGGCGTTCGGCTGCTGCAATGAGAGGTTTGACTGAGGATGGAGGTGAGTTCCATGAGCAGTTTGAGTTCCAAGAGTTTCTGTTTGTTGTTGATGAATGCGATGATCCAAGGTATTGGCGTCGCTGTTAGATCCGGGGCGAAGTAGGAGTCCTGAATTGTCCTGGGCGGAATTTGATCTGTGGTTTGAAGTAGCGTTTAAGATTGCTGGCAATCCTGAAAATTGTGGCAAATCGTCCGGGGTGTCCTGGTCCATGGTGACGTTTTGTGTAGTGGTACTACGGGTTAAACTTTCCGTTTGGCGTCGAAGGGGAAAATTTTCCAAAGCTTGTCGTATTATTGAAGGCGTCGAGACGTTGCTGGCTACTCGTGATGAGTTTAAAGAGGACGTGGCAGTGTTGTTGAGGGTACGCTCGTATCGTTTTGATCGTAGTTGGATCGTTCGGTACAAAACTTTCAAAGTTTTCAATCGTTCAATGATTGAGTCTTGCTGGTCCGTTCCGGTGCGTATTATCTTGACTGCTTCGTTATTGGCATCGTCAAGCAAGCTCTTCAATTCCGTTAAGAAATCGTTTATGATCTGTACTTCGTCGGAATCGCTTATGGCTTGGTTAATTGCTTTTGCTAAAGTTTCTACGTCTGTTTCTATGACTTTAAAAACAGCATCATAGGTTGAATTCATTTTTAATTGACTATGTCTCCTAAGCTTAATTCACGTTTTGACGTGTCAGACAAAAATGTAAAATGGCCAATATGTAATTCCTTTGATTACATGGAACCCTCGCAATTGTATTGTAACAAAAAATGATTTTGAGTTTTTTTTTTGGAACTTACAATCCAATGTGACTCTTAATCCCAGGGTCGTGGGTTCGTGCCCCACGTTGGGCGCCAATGACAATGGCAATACTTTTTGGGTGATTAAGATTCCAATTTCAAATCGTAGTTTAGTTGTTTCTTTTTAAATGATTTCTTTTGATTTTTGAGTTTTGAGTCTTTCAGTTTACTAATTTGGCGGCATATTCATGTCGAAAAATGTGGCAAAATTAGGTTCGGCAAAGAATAAAGTTCAAATGTCGTAGACACGGTATGAACGAATTTTTTTAGGCCAAATCATGTATTGGGGTTCCTGATAACTAAGTGCCCGAGAGTTATGAGCGATTAAAAACAACTCAAACATACTAGTAATTATAAACTTGACTGAATTCAACAGCCAACGGCAGGCGCCAGCAAGAGCCGGATTCATTTTTGAATGTTTTGCTTGACACTATTGCAGGAGAGACTCAAATCTTGGCTGACCCGTACCTATTAAATAAAACAAAATCAGGAGTGTTCAGGTATTTAGCAGATCTAGCTATAAAACAGGACTGATCAGATCTGATGCAGAGCTGTGTACATCTGACATGCCTTTTGCAGGTCTGCAAAACTAGTATCCGGGGACCGACCTCTTACCAGACCGACCTTTTGCCAGAAAAGTTATAACACGGACCTTTTACCAGACTCGATAAACAAATTTGATTGACAGATGTAATGACGCCGTTTCGTCTGGTTAAAGACAATGAAATCACGGTTTATCAGCGAAGATTTGTTTGTTCTAACCGCTTCCTTCTTGAATCTTCCACAAATTTAAATTTATTTTAATTGAATTATTGCATAGTGGTCTGGTAAAAGGTCGGTCTGGTAAAAAGACCTAGCCTCCTAGTATTGAGACATGACTAATAACTTGCAGACCTGCACAATGCATGCGAGACGTGCACACTCTTCTTTGTATTTTGTCCGCTACTAATTGAGTTAATTAATGAAGGATTGGGCTCAATATTTTTTGCGTTTAAATTTTGTTGTGTAATTTTTGTTTATTTGAATCTTATTTAGATCCAGATTTTTTAAAATGAGCCAATCGAGGACTGATATTTCAAGCCAAATCGTTTGCGGAAGATGATAACTCGCCAAAAAACAGGTAAAATTTCAGTTACCACCCTCCTCCGTTAGCGGATTTACGGTGCGGGGGGGGGGGGGGGGGGGGAGGGATGAGAACGCGTTTTACGGTGGGGCCGGTTTTACGGTGGAGGGGGGGGGCAAATGAGCGTTTATACACCTAATATGAACTGTTATAACATGAAGGGAGGGGGTAGGGTGTTAAATTGACCCCAACTTTTTTTTTTTAATTTGAGTTTTTTGATTTTTGCAAAAATCAAAAATGAGCGTTTATACACCTAATATGAACTGTTATAACATGAAGGGAGGGGGTAGGGTGTTAAATTGACCCCAACTTTTTTTTTTAATTTGAGATTTTTGATTTTTGCAAAAATCATCCCCACACACGCCATATATAGTACAAAGGGATAGGATTCGCTGCTAGTAACAAATCAATTATGGCAAAAAAGCTTCTTTCAATCAATTTGGAACCATTTCTAACTCGGTTTAAATATCCGCTGATGCGTTAATAGCGCGAAATATATCGCGCGCTAATTGTCCCAAAATGGCCAAAATGGCAATCTTTAAGCCCCAATAACTTTACGAAAAAAGATCACAAGAGAAATATCTTTTCTAATTTAAGCTCAAGACAACAATAGCTTTCGAATGATGTAAGAAAATCTTGTGGATATTTTCGAGTTTAGCTCTGGCTTAAACCTTAACAAGACAACTCGTACCAGGGCGAAGCCCTGAATGTTCCGACTGCCTTTTAAGGTCTTTGGAGCAGTGATAACATGAAAAATTTGA